CAGGCTGATTCCATTCACTGTCAGATCTGTAGATGCTGAGGAAGAAGGTGCAAGGCATTCAAAACAGAGATAAGCAAGTTACCTTTCAATTACCAAAATTTTAAAAAAGGACACAGGAGGACATCCATTAAAACTAAAATTACCCAAGAAGTTCAAGGTGTTTCGAAGAAGCTGATATGCCGTCATGCTGTTACTGATTCTATGAGTGATCAGTAGATACGCCAACAGCATTGAAGCTAGGAAGCCATTAAAACAACCAGTGCCCTATAAGACATTGAGAACAATAAAGATATAAGGTAAGAAAAAAATTACACCTTAAAGTAGGACATTTTTTAGCTTTAGCTTTAATTCAGAGTTTTCAGTGTTGTGAAAATGGCTGTCCCTCTACCTGGCTAGATTTTAATGGTGACTTGTGCTAAAACCATGATGTGGACCAGGCAAGGATCAGAATTTCAGTTTAAAAGTATCTGGAAAGTTACAGCACGTGTTGCGTTACTGGTGCAATATTTATTGATGATTATTAGTTGCAATATTAATCGATGATGTAGAATGTGTATAAATGTTTTCATGTTTGACTCTAATCTGCTTCCAAATCTTACGCTGCTGGAACCTCAGCTACTAGAATACAGATCTGAAAATTCATCAGATGTAGTTGTAGGCCATTGATCACAAAGAATAATTATTTAATCAATAATATATATTGATCTGGAGATAAACTAAAGTGATTTCCACATCTCCTTTATTAGGCTACGAGAACTTTTAATGTTTAACTAAATCAAAAGTTGCAGCACTTCAATATGATCCAGTCAAGAATAAAGTTGATTATAACCATTGTTGTAATCATCATCTCTGACTGGGGTTTTCGGTTTTGTCAAGCCATATAATGCAAAGTGCTATGCTGAACTTTGCAGTACACTCCTCTGAACTCTATGCAACAAGTGTGAGAACCAATGAGAGCTTCCTACCTGATCAAGCTCTCTTTGACGAAGCCAGACTTTAAGTAAAGCCACCCCATCAGTAAAAGCTGAGCACTGAGAGCTGACAGCAGAGAGGAACTGGAGGTGAGCCCTCGGCAATAAATCTCCCAGAACAGAGCTGTTATAATGTGGAGTCGGAGGTTCAGAGCTCTCTGTGACAAAATAAGTTTAAAAAAAAGATAATTTAATTAAGGAGTTGCTGACTAATAACATGGCTATAAATATACAATACAATGAAAACAGTCTGTTGAAAATCCAGACACAGTTTGTTCAAAGACTCAAGCTGCATCAGAAGGCCAAAAAAAAGGTAACAACTTTGAGATCTCCTTTGCATGCTCCTTTGATGTTCCTGCTTTGCTTCTCATTCCATCAGAAATATCCAGGTCATTTTTTAAGCCTGTTTGATGTTTTTCTAGTTCATGACAGGCTACTTCTACTTCTGTAGTCGGAGGGTTAGTATTTAACTAAATTTAACATACAACTGTAAAATCATTGTCTGAGACAGTTTACTGGAGGGGATTTAAATATTGGGATGAACAATAACAATCTTACCAGACTGGGAAGTCTGCAAACCAGTGTACCACTCTGTCCTGATGTTATTCCTCTGGGGATGAAAACGGCTGGGTTTGAAGAACCCGGGGGCTGGACAGGCATGAATGCGGAGGGTGAAGCTGGAAGAGTCTTTACCTGGAATACAGAACACTTTTTATCTCAAAGTCACAACCAGAAAAAAAGCCTTTTAACATAGATGTTAAAATCCATATAATGTAAACGTAATGTCATTGAATAATGTTTAAAATGTATACAATATGAAATTATTTAAAACTTGAATACCTGGAGGGGTCAGCAGCAGAACAGGTCGAAGTCGATTCCCATGGAGACAGGAATACTGCATGGTCCCGATGTCAGAAGAGGAAGTGAGATGCTGGGCCAGGCCTGCCAGGTAGAGAGCCCTTTTCCTCGGATACCTCTGGTTCAGGACATCTTTTGGATGGAGGACATCCTAACAACAGACAGAATAGCAGACTGAAGGCTACGGAAACACAGCACACCATTGATTTTTTTGTAGAATACAAAAGCAGTTAGGATGACTTACATTTGGAATTGTGACAGCCAGGTCCACCATGACATTTGGTTTGGTGCAGGTACCCAAGGGGTAGCTCCCGATCAGATCAATGGAAGAAGGAGGCGCCATGTGGAATTTTCCTTTTGTTGTTTTAGGCACCAAGAGAAATGGGACCTTCACTGCACCAGACAGCCAGGACAGGTCACTTACCTGAGACAAAAATCATGTGTGAATTTGTGTGGAGTTGACCATCTATTGCCAATCACAAAGCTTTGGTTACAACTGAAGCACAACATACCTCAACTTCTGGTGAGTCTGGCACAGTCTGGATTAACTTGGTGACTGTCTGAATGAATGAATCTATTTGGCGTTTCCTGCGTTCACTCAATGCAACTTCTTTCAACAGCTCCTCCATCTATTATTGATGACAGATCACTATCAGTTTGTGTGGTCAGTGGTTACATACGACAACAGGGTTAAGAGATATGATCACACTCCTTTTTTATCATTATCTTTTATGGTTACGTCACTAAGTCTGGCGTCTCACCTGCATTTTGAGCAGACTGCAGTGAAACAGGCTTTCTGCCTCTTTCAGTTGGTTGAGCTCCTCTGCTGTAGGAGGTCGATACAGATCATTTCGCGATAGCTTCACTGGGTGATAGACAACCTCCTCCCCTGCGTGATCAGCTTTGCTTCTTTTTGCTTTAACTGGAGCCTCATTTTCCTCGTCCTCTTCTGTCTGTCGAGAGGAATCTGAGGGATTCATCTGTAAACAACAAATTATACATGTTGCACTGTAATACGTGTTACCAATATTCCCCCAGCACAGAATGTATGAAACATGTAAGTTCGCTAAGTGGTTCCAGTGCGACGTAAATAGCAAACTGTAGGCATGCGAGCAGTACTCGTGCATCGCTGAGTAGAACTGCTCTTTTCTGAGCGATCGGGAAGCCAAACTTTACTAAATTTTCAAGTCTTACCTCTGCTGGTTCCTCTGGAACGGACTGCTTCTTCTTCATTTCTAAATTGTTTTCGACAAGATAAAATTTCAGTTATTTAGGAACGTTTCATCAACAGCGCTTTCCCTTCATTCCGCTTTCACATGTGCCAAGGGTTAGTGAAACATGCTACCCAACAAAATATTTCCCTGATTGGGTTAGAAAAGGTGAGGGAGCTCGATGATTGGCTCGCTTCTCTCTCTGGGCGGGTCCAATCGTCTTTCCCAAGATAGGTTGCACAAACAATCTTCTGATTGGTGCTCCGGAGCCGCTCATGCGCAGACACATGCCTATAATAATTTCGACACAGGTAAAATAAATAAATAAATAACATACAATCGATACGGTGATATTTATCTGCTTTAAATTTCTGTTAATATCTTTTTTCAAATCAATACAAATGTACAGAAAATGCAGATCCGCTTTTTATAAGCAAATAATTGCTAAATATAGTAGATACACTTCTGTTATTTTGCCTCCAGGGAAGAACACAATTATACAAACACCTATCAGCATAATGTACAATACATTCAACAGCCCCACAAACTACAGCCTCTAAAGGATTATGGCGCTATTACATCTTCCAAATGGTGAAAAACGGAACATTATAACCGTTATAAACGTATGCAAGAGTATAATAAACAGCTTTTCACTCATTTTAAGTCCAGTCTTTGTATCCGACCATTTTCATAGGAACATTTCTTTGCTTGGTAAGCTGCTTAATAATGGCCTATCATTCAAGCATAAAAATGCACCTAACTCAGAGGAAGAACCAGTGTCCTAGCTACACAAAGACAACATAGGAAAGAACTAATGTTGTTACAAGTGCTCTGTCACAAAAACACATACGCTGTTCTCATTTCTTTAGCAGAATTAATGAAAAATGCTATAAATCAGACAGTTTGAATGGCATAAAATAGTATTTTTGCCCCAGCGAAGGGATTCCCAAAGAGTTATTAAACTTGGTACATCTCAATATGGTGTGCATGTAATCTTAAAAATTTGAGGGAAAAAGGACAAATGATGGACAAAAGAAGAAGAGGCTTAAAAATCCATCTACAGCATATGAACGGTGTCTAAAAGTCTTGACTTTAGGAAATGAAAAAAAAATCCAGCAAAGAAGTGATACAGGAACAGAAAAATCCCCCTAGCTCTTCAACTGATCCTTCTACTGTTTACTGCAGCTCCATCAGAAATGGTTTCAATTAAGGACGGCTGTCAAGAAGTCACGCTACTATCCACTACCGTCCACCATACAGTACCATCTGGAAGGCGGGTGGTTGGCATCAGCTTCATTTTTCAGCTTGGCAATGATCCTAAACACACTGCCAATGCAGTAAAAGCATACTTCTGCCTCCCCAGAGCCCAGACCTTAACATTATTGAATGTGTCGGATCATCTTGAAAGAACAAAAGGCAGCCAACATTCAAAGAAGAGCTCTGAGTGCCTTGCAATAAGCCTGGTGAAGTATTGCTAAAGACTACTTAAATAAATTACAAGAGTCTAACATTTGAGAGAGATTAGGTGATATGTAAAGTATATTTTACGAGATACGTAAATAATAAGGGCTCAGTGTTTATTTTTGAACACAGTATAAAAAGACTCCAATGCATATAATGTATTACGAATAAAACTTTCAGGTGCAATGTCGTTCCTGAGACAACTCACCTTTATCATGTGTTATTTTATATAGCAACATTTTTTTAGATTAGAAATACTGTATTTCATTTCTGTATTTCAAATGCAGAGTAGCTAAAATCACATGGTGGGAAACTGGAGTTTAAAAAAAAAGGCAGACTTGTACAATTATAGTAGTTTTTTCAAATTTATTGTGTTAATATGTGGCTCAACCATAGACATTGTTACGTCTTCTAATCAGCTGTCACAGATCTTGGGCTGAAGCAGTGGGGTGACCCGAGGTGATGGGCCTCCTGCAACCTGATCAACAGAAAACAGCACAGGGGCATCTGTCATGGTTTGAGGCAAACCACATGAAGTTAGAGGAGTGGACCCAAATGCAGACAATGGAGATGAATGTGGATGGTAACAGAAAATGAGCCTATATTTAGGGCTGAACAGATGTTAAAAATAAATGGCAAAGACAACTAGAAAAGAACAAACAAAACCTATACTGGCAAAGCTAACCTGAAACATAACTAGAAAAGCTGAGACGGAAGCAATGACACACAGGAGAGAACGCAGGAGTAACACAGCCGATCCAACAAGGAGCTAAGGAGAACACACAGGGAACGAGGAAACAAACGGGGGGGAGACACAGCTGAACCTAATGAAACATGCCGAGGCAAGGGGAGCCAAACTAGACACACTGACATAGCACACAAGACTATCAGAGTAAAACAGGAAATATGGCACGTACATACAGTCACAGACTCAGAGGCACAAGCTTAATGTTACGACATAACTGACACCTTACAGCGGGAACATAGAGACAGGGAGACTAGACATGAGATGTGGGACCAGGACAAGCACAGAGAAAACATTGGGACAGAGACTGAACGGAGAACAGAGACTGTTAAAATAAAACAGGAAGCACACGACGGGTACAGAGACATAGACTGATACTGAACAGAGGGAACACGAAGTACAGGGACAAGAGTGACATGAGACACGACTGACTAGGGAACAAGTGAATAAACACAAGGACAGAACTAAACCTACACTAAACATGAGGGGGACAGGAACCAAAACCTAAGAACTCGAAATCACAAACCAAGAACAACTGGAGAGCAAGAAATACAAAACTTAAACCAAAACACTGGTCGTCATAAACCATGATGAAATCAAAGATCAACAATTATAATACAAAAATCAAAACACTGAGTCTTTGACCCAGGAACATGATAGCATCACTCTCTATCGGCTTTAAACTGGTAGACTGGGAAGGCTGGTTAATTTGGACTTGTTTCTTCGCTTTGAGGAGCTTTTTATTTGGACCTCAACATTCATTGCTGGCTGACTCGTGCCTCTCTCTGTGCTGGAACCTGGTCAATGTCAGCCTTCTGTTACAAAGGAATATAGCAATATAGATATAGTGTAGATGTGAATATAAATAACTTAATGGTGGCATTTGAATAGAAGACAAATAGAAGAGACTATAAGAGTACCTCCTGTGCAGCAAGATGTTGTTGATGGATAAGAACAGGCACACATCCTTGAGCCCAGGCATCGGAAGTTGGTGGCACAGGCTCAGAATCTTCTGTTTTTGATCTTTCGACTGGTCCTTCTCCCTCATCTAGGCACAAGATTTGGTGCTCTACAATCTGTGTGAGGTACCTCTTGGCCCAAGATGCAGAGAAAGTTGGTAGCTTATTGCCAAAGACAGACAATATCACAGATGTGAAATGCAATATATATTATTTATGGATAAAAGCAAGACAAGGTATTTTCTTTATAACATTAATGTTGAACTGATTGTAAAAGAAAAAAACAACATAAAGCTGATAAGCTTCTCAGTTTTACCTGGCTCTCAGTATACACATCAAGACATCCTTTCATGACCTTCCTCAGCAGTTCATCTAAGATTTCCCCCACTGCCTCATCTGCATCCTCCTGAAGCAACATATTTGTCCACTGGGTCCGGGTCAAGTGACCTGGGATTATATCTTCCCCTTTCTGCTCTTGTGCTGCAGGTGAGATCACCTGTACAGATGACCTACGTCTGTGCTTGTCAGTTTGAGGCTTGGGTGCAGAGCGTGGCATTTTTGCTCAGAGGCTGGTGTGAAATATAAACTGCAAAAAGTCAGATCATGGAAAACTAAAAAAAACTGGCATTATCACAAACCCAAATTCTATTTAATGATGATCTTGGTGAGCTCACTTAGTTAAAAAAAAAGATCAATAAACAGTCCTGAAACCTTTTGATTGACCGTTTGACCTTATGATTTGGTGACACTGTAGACATTTAAAGGTTGCAATAAGGGAAAGTCACACTTTTAGGGTTTTATTAGGAGGAGAGTAAATGCATGGGCATTATTTTGTGTTTTTATCCATAGAGTAAAAAGCATGTTAGATAACAGCATGCCAGATAACTATCATTTTTCAAGCTATTTATTTTCTTTGGTTAATGAAAAAGTTTATTTTATTTCTTATCTGTGTTATGGTCGTGTAAAGGTCAGTATGCTGGCAGTTGCAGACAGGGCATTCAAAAGCTCAGTTAGTGCATCAATCAGGAAGTTTGTGGCTTTAATTCCGTTAGATGATCAAAATGACGGGCCCAAAAGTCACAATTCTACGTTAACAGACACAATTTTTACGTGATCCCCACACTGGAGTTAAGAATACAAACAATGACCTGTACATTAAAAAAAACAAAAAACATTTTAATATGGTTTTGTCCCGCTGCGAATGTCATTTCTACACAGGCAGCCAACTGGCTACTGTTGCTCGTTCGGGGTGCAGTGAACTTTTTTATTTTTACTCCTGTTATTATCGTAATAATTATGAGTAGTTTGCACATAGAGTAGGTGTTTTAAAACACTCTTCATAGTTTCAAATATTAACCCTAAAATCACTGTTATCAAAACGAATGCTGCGTTATCCGGATACACGTTACAGACATACACGAAGCACACAAACAGGGGAGATAGGCACCTTATCAGCGACACCTTTACTTTAACGTAGCTAACCACACTGCAACTAAAAGCGCTAAATTTATATATCGCAACACAATCGGCGTTAGGTTTCTTTTTAATAAACAGTGTTGTCATGCCAAAACTGGAACATTTTACCTTTATCCTCAGATTCGTACTATTCACGGTTGCCCAGCAACCTAGCACGCATAGTTGACGTAGTACGTAGAGTTACGTCGTCTCTATGGCTGCAGAGGACGCATAGGTAATCCTGTTGCTAGCAAAAGCCAGAGAAGCCCTTCGTTTACATTAACTTAATTTGGAATAATCGATTGAGGCAACAGCTATGGGGGAGGGTTTTTTTTTAAACTTTGTTTTACATATGTCCAATATATAAGGCTGTCCGGTTGTATTTATTATCTCGCTAAGATAATTAGCTTGCTGCTAATGTTAAGTGGTTAGCGTTTAATTTGCTATGAATTAACGACAGCCTAGTGGTTAGGGCATGTTTTTGAAGAGATTACTTGCTATTTAATTATGGTATCTTTATTTTCTGTCTTCTTTCTTTTCTTTTTTAGTCCGCCATCAGATTAGATTACACATTGTTCGATCAACTGTGCCCTACAAAGAAGACCCAATGTATCACAAGGAAAAGAGTATCCAGATAAAAAACAGCGCATCAGCGTTGTACAACAACCTCAGCGTGCTGCGCATAGCACCGAGGCGCCTCACCCACTTCACCGTGGTCCATGCTAACATGGTCAACATGGTCAGCGCGTCCTGGGATGGCCTAAACTACACCCACCGTCAGCTGCAGTCCAAGGAGCCAAATGTTGCTACAAGCACTTCGCTTATCATGCAGGTTAGGTCACGGTGCAACTTCTTCTGCTCCCCATTTTACCTTATCATACTCACTGAGAACAGCTAAAAGACTGACTTCAGCAAAACGTCAGTATTGACTTCAGTATTTTCAGTCGTATTCTTTCTAAATGTACACGAAATGAATGTACTTGGTATACGTTGGCGAGTCCAAGGCAAAATAATCCCCCTTCAACAAATTTCATTTATTTCCAGTATATTATAAATAATTTGAAACAACCAACTTAAAAGTCCTACAAAACGAATGTTAAAGCATTACTCTAGAAATGTTGGAAGCATCCTTAATTTGGTAACAATGCCCAAGACCAAGTTGGCTGGTTATGAAGTGTTAAGACTGTTAACTGTCAACTTATGGTTTCCTGATTTTGACTTTTCCTGACTATACTATTCAGATCACTTCCCCAGATTGTGGATATCTGCTCCACTCACCACTGTCTTGCTTTTTTATGCTCATGTTTTTCTCCTTCCTTAATTTTTCACTTAGAAAAGAAACATATATATATATATGTGTTGTGTGTGTGTGTGTGTGTGTGTGTGTGTGTGTGTGTGTGTGTGTGTGTGTGTGTGTGTGTGTGTGTGTGTGTGTGTGTGTG